TCCGGCAAAATTGGGTTATCTTATACATTTGAAAGTCTTGTTCTGAGATGAGCTCCACAGGCTTCCCTTATGAGGGCCAAAGGCACAAGAAGTTAAGAACGCCTAGCCCCGTGCTGGACAAACTGCAGCTCGCGAGCCACATGCGGCTCTCTGGTCCCTTGAGTGTGGCTCTTCCACAAAATACCACGGCCTGGGCGAGTCTATTTTGAAAAAGTGGCGTTAGAAGTTTAAGTTTAAAAAAATGTGGCTCTCAAAAGAAATTTCAATCTTTGTACTGTGGATATTTGGCTCTGTTGACTAATGAGTTTGCCGACCACAGCCTTAGCCTAAACCTTCTGTTCTTAATCTATAATAATAAAAGGGTAATATGCTAATTAGACCTGACGTCATTCCGGACGTCCTTCCTGGCAAGCCAGAGCAGAGGGAAGCCAGCCCGGGTCCTGGGTGCCAGAGGGAATCCAGTGCTGGCAACTGGGGGAAGGAAGGCCTACTCTTGCATGAATTTTCGTGCACTGGGCCTCTAGTTTATTATAAACAAGATTTTTATTATGAAACGAATTCATGAATGAGGGATGCAGTCATTTCCCCCTGCTATATAAAGGATCCATCAGTGGTCCAACAGACACACTTCACAGCATCAGCCAGGTTTTCCCACTCCGGACTCATCTTCAATTCTTTTTCTTTTTCTTTTAATATATTTTGTTGATTTTTTTACAAAGAGGAAGGGAGAGGGATAGAAAGTTAGAAACATCAATGAGAGAGGAACATCGATCAGCTGCCTCCTACACACACACCCCTCCCCCCACTGGGGATGTGCCCGCAACCAAGGTACATGCCCTTGACCAGAATCGATCCCAAGACCCTTGAGTCCACAGGCCGACACTCTATCCATTGAGCCAAACAGGTTTCGGCTCATCCTCTATTCTAATTAATGCAAATGCGGGCCTTGTTTTCCCCTAGTGCACTTGAGCTAGCTTTCTGCTTTGACCAGAACATCCATGGGGCCCACTTAGCCAGCACTTATCAAACATCTATGATGTTCAGAACTGTTTCCAGAACACAGACCCTGGAGATCTGCCTTCGGAGATGCTCCAGGCCCAGGGGGCAGATGAACATCAAAGAACTGATAGGCCTTCCAGGGCCAACTGGCCAGCCAGAGGCAGCGCTCTGAAAGGGCATCTGTTTGCCCGCATGCTGGCTGCCTAGCGTGTCCGATTAGAAACACACAAGGCATCCTCCACCGGTACAGAGCTCCTTAAGCTATACACACACGGAACATGTTTATTCTTGCTATCCTCTCAGGTTGAGAAATCAACAAATGTTTTCTGGGCTCAAGAGTCCTCAGAGGCCAGTACTTCACTTGCAAGATGACCAAGGATGGGACTTTTTTTTTAAGCAAACATTTAAGGGTCTGGTGCACCTCATCAGCCAGCACGCTCCGAAGGCATCCCCAGGCCCAACGTGGAGTTGCCCTTAGTGGCCAGTGGCTGTTACTTGGTTACCTCCTGGCTGGCATTGGTAACCAAGTTATAGGGAACCACAGGAACAGAACTAAATGCTTCAGGCTTAATTCCATGAAAATCACATCACAGAACTGTGGGATTAGGAAAAAAGACTGACAAATGGGAAAAAGAACATAAATCAAGGCTGCACAGGCTTTGACTCACCCTTGAGTCACATCAAATCCTCGTGCCAAGAGCAGTATACTTGGGCTCATTATTCTCAATTAAAATAAATGTTTTTGGAGACCTCACAGGTGGTGGATCGCTCATAAAGTGCCCTTTAATGAAAACCAAAAGAACTTACAAGGGCCTAGTCTAGCCAGGCCCCTTGATTTTACAAGGCTGGATACCCACTGACAGGCGAGGGTGACATGCCTCCCCCCGTATCAAATGATGGGGGGCCTAACTGGTGTGGCTCAGTGGATAGAGCGTCAGCCTGAGGACTGAAGGGTCCCAGGTTCGATTCCAGTCAAGGGCATGTACCTTGGTTGGGGGATCATCCCCAGTAGGGGGCGTACAGGAGGCAGCTGATCGATGTTTCTCTCTCATCGATGTTTCTAGCTCTCTATCCCTCTCTCTTCCTCTCTGTAAAAAATCAATAAAATGTTTAAAAAAATAAAAATAAATCAATAAAATATATCTTTCAAAAATGATGGGGGGAATACAGTAAGAATCAGACTTCTGTTACTGCCAAAACACTCATGTAGGGACTCAAGATCTAACATAGATGCATGCGTACACACATCCCCTTCCTTAGAATTATTCCTTTCTAGAATGTTCTTTGCCATGCCATCAAAATTTTCTCAACTTAAAGATTAACAGGCTGGGAGTGAAGAATAAATGGCTGGGAATACGCCTCAATCTTTTCCCCTTTACCTTCTCTGGGCACAACTAAACTATTTAGATGTCACTTTCCCACCTTGCCAACTCTGAACTGCCAGTTCCTTCTGCTCCCTTCCAAACTGCACATCCATGGCTCTCTCCCTCTCTGGCCGGTGCCAGGCAGTGTTCAAGTTCTCTCACTTTTTCTTCAGTTATGTGAAGGTTTCCCCCACTTTTACAACAGAACCCAGAAGCAGCCACCATTCCGGCAGGCAACATCCGCATTAAGCCAAAAGCTGTTCCGGCTTCAGGCAGGGACACACACCAAGTCAAGTGCCAATCTTTGTGCCTCATCCAGAGAGGACCTTCCTTACAGCCTAGAAACTCATGCTAAGTCCGGGTGAGTACCCACAGGTGCTTGCTACCATCAGGGTCACTGCCTACACCGGTGGTCGGCAAACTGCGGCTCGAGAGCCACATGCGGTTCTTTGGTCCCTTGAGTGTGGCTCCTCCACAAAATACCACGTGCGGGCGTGCACGCACAGTGCGATTGAAACTTCGTGGCCCATGCACAGAAGTCGGTTTTCGGCTCTCCAAAGAAATTTCAATCGTTGTACTGTTGCTATTTGGCTCTGTTGACTGAGTTTGCCGACCACTGGCCTACACTCACCTCTTAGCAGATAGGTATTCACTCCTCCATCCTCACTCAACCTCCTCACCTCTAAATTGAGTATTATATACAGCCTGGCCAGTGTGGTTCAATGGTTAAGGCTTGACCTATGAACCAGATCACAATTGGATTCCGGGTCAGGGCACATGCCTGGGTTGCGGCCTTGAACTCCAGTAGCTGGGGCTCGAGGCAGCCAATCAATGATTCTTCTTTTTTTTCTTCTTTTAAATATATTTTTATTGATTTTGTACAGAAAGGAAGGGAGAGAGATAGCTAGAAACATCTATGAGAGAGAGTCATCAATCAGCTGCCTCCTGCATACCCCCCACTGGGGATATGCCCGCAACCAAGGCACATGCCCTTGACCGGAATCGAACCCGGGACCCTTCAGTCCCCAAGCCGACGCTCTATCCATTGAGCCAAACCGGTCTCGGCTCAATGATTCTTCTACTCGATTCTTCTTTTGAATCATTCTAAATGATTCTTCTTTTCTCTCTCTCCCTCTCCCTTCCTCTCTGAAATCAATAAAAATATATTTTAAGCCCTAACCGGTTTGGCTCAGTGGACAGAGCGTTGGCCTGAGAACTCAGGCGTCCCAGGTTCGATTCCGGTCAAGGGCATGTGCCTTGGTTGCGGTCACATCCGCAGTGGGGGGGTGTGTAGGAGGCAGCTGATCGATGTTTCTCTCTATCCCTCTCCCTTTCTCTCTAAAAAAATCAATAAAACATATTTTTTTAAAAATACATATATATCATATATAATATATATTATATATTATATTTATATATATTATATATATGTATTATATATATAAATTGAGTATGCTACAATCTTCACTAAGCACTATCAGCTTTAGCTGGCAGGGTGACTACTCAACAACACCTTAGCTGTCTCACACCCCACCAGCCACATTCCGGATCACCATTTTACCTCCGGATTCCTCCCAGCAGGCTCCGCTCCCTCCATCCTCACCTAAGAAACGTGGGAACTAAAAAAAAAAAGCTTTGTTTTCCCAGGGCACTTCCAGACCACCCAAACACAATGAGAGGACTTAGCAACCTCGCGGTGTTTTATGGCAACTCCCTTAATATTAAATAAAAGCCCTATGACGTCTGCACTGCTCCCCCCCCCCATATATTTTTTTTTGGGGGGGAGGAGGGGGATGAGACTCAGGCGGAAAACCAAGGCCAAAGTCAAACGCAGGGCCAATCGTGAAGGGCAGGGCGCAGACCTAGATCTTCCCCCAGTCCTAATTCATTAAGTCCCGTGCCTTCGAGATCCTTTCATTTGGGGGGAAAAATGCAAAGTGCTCCGAAGTTCAAAAATCGGGAGGAGAAAGTGAGAGAGCCAATGCTCTCAATGGTGACAAAAAAGGCTGATGCGTCCAATCCCAGGAAAACCCTGGAAAAGCGGGATGTGGACGCGATGCTCCGAGGGCCACGCGGGAGAGGCAGACCGCAGTCCGCAGCTCTCCCAGGTTTAACGCCAGCGCAAAGCCAGGCCCGCGGCCCTCCCCTCCCCCACGATGGAAGCACCTAGAGAAAAGCCTGCAACACACCGCTCCCCATCTCCGTTCCCGCACACGGTCCCCAGGTCCCCAGCCCTCGCTCCTGGTCGCCTCTCAGGATCCTAAGCCTCCGGATTCGGGGAGATCGGGCTCGGATTTGGGGAGATCGGGCTCCCGCGCCTAGCCCTCCCCCCCCCCCCCCGCCCCACACAACACCCCACATCGTAATCATCGTTTCCTTTTCCCGTCGCCGGTCCCTTTCCGGGGGATCCATCTCCCACGCCGCCGCCTAAGAATCCCGCCAGCGCCAAGCGGTCCTTCCCCGGCCCTGGCTCCGGCTCCCCGAGGGGAGTCCCCATCCCCGCGGGGAATCCACCGCCGCGGAAAACAGGAAAAGGTCACGCGGGCGGCCCGCGCCCTCCACGCCTCGCCCCGCCGCCGCCCCTGCACCCCCGCCCCGTGGCTGTCCCGCCCGGGGGTGTGGGGGGGGGCTGCTGAGCTACCCGGGCCGGGAGGGAGGCTTGGCTGGGAGGAGGCGCCCGGCGCGGCCCCCGTCCAGGCCCGCGGACGGAACGGGGCGCGATCGGGGCGAGATCGGGGCGCGATCGGAGCGCGGCCACCCCACCCCCGCCCCGGCCGCCAGGGCACATGGCCCCGCGGGGCGCATTGTTCGGCCGCGGCTCCCGGGGCGGCGGGGGCGGCGGGCAGGTGGCGGCCGCGTGTCCTCACCTTTGGCGCCGAGCTTGAAGTCGAGCGTGCTGTGCCGAGCTGCTGCCATAGTGCGGCGGGGCCCTGGGCCATGCCTGGGGGGCGGCCGCGGGAGACGGGGGTCCGCGATGGCTGAGCCGGCGGCTGTGGGCTGCGGCGCCGGGAGGCCGGGGATCGGGGGGGCGGGGCCGGCGGGAGCCGCCCGGGGCGCGGGGCGGGGCCGGCCCGCCTCCGGGAGGAGGAAGCGCGGACGCTGCGAGCCCCGAACTCGGAGCGCGGAGGGGGGGGGGAGCTCGCTGGGGCGATGGGGGAAACGTGGGCGCCGCGCTCCCCGCCTGCGTCACCAATGGCCGCGCCCAGCGCCTGGGATCGGCGGCCGCTCCCGCCATCCGTTAGGTCACCTTAGGTTTAAACGGCGCCGCGCGGCTCGGGGGGGGGGGGGGGGGGGGGGGACACACGACCCCCTGCTGCTCCCACACCGGCCCCCGAAGCCGAGGCCCTTCCGATTTCCCGGGCAAGGGAAAAAAATAAAATGCTGGGATCCACCCTGCAGTCCCCAAGTACCGCACTGCCGCCTTCACTCTTCCCAGGCTCCCCTTAAGCCCCTTGGAGATGGGATGGCCATTCACATGAGCCAGGGCCCCTGTGCCTTTCAGGACCGGATAGAAGGACACCTGGGCATTGAAGTTACCCACATTTTTATGCAAAAGGAGAACGGGGGAGAAGTGAGGGGAGAGCGTTGTGAACGTGGATCTGGGGAATTACAGATTCTGGAGCTGCGCCTCCATCCCTGATGCTCCTCCATCCGCGGCAGTGAGCCCACCCGCTCTGCGCTTGTCTTTGGCTTTGGTATGGCTGGTGTTCAACAAGATGTGGTCAAGGAAACAACAGCAATGGCTGTGCGTTACAGCTCCATCCCTCTTTTGTGCCTGTCTTGCTTCTCAGCACGTGAATTGCTGTGCTGGCTGGACAAATTTGAGATCAGTGAAATCTCATGCCTCCACAAAGCCAGAAGAACCTAGGATTAAACTCGTCTCTCCTGCAGGCAGCCACTAGTCCTGTTTTGCTGAAATCTTTCACCTTTCTTTCCTTCCTTTCTTCCTTCCTTTTTTTTCCCCCAAATATATTTTCATTTATTGACTTTTTACAGAGAAGAAGGGAGAGGTTTAGAGAGCCAGAAACATCCATGAGTGAGAAACATCGACCAGCTGCCTCCTGCACCCTCCCCACAGGGGATGTGCCCGCATCCAAGGCACATGCCCTTGACCGGAATCGAACCCGGGACCCTCTGTTCTGCAGGCCAGCGCTCTATCCACTGAGCCAAACCCGCTGGGGCTATCCTTCACCTTTCTACAAGAACTGGGCAATGTCTTCACAAGTTTTTATCAACACACCGTTCTGTTAAGAACAGAATTCCCTTTTAAGCATTAATGTCTTTCCATCCACAGCCACCTGTGTGCTCTGTATGATTTCCTTCCTTCTGTGGTTCCCAGGTTCTCAGTTGCCTGTAGCTACTCTCGCTCAGCTTCCGGTCCTTACACTGCAGCCTGCAGCTCCTGCTTGCTTCCTGGGATACTCTTCAGTTCTTGCTTTCCTCCGGAGTCAGGTTGCTGGGAACACAACTTGTCCTTGGCCACACTGAATGGCATTGTGGCTCCACGGGTCTCAAGTGTGCCTCTCTCTCCCCACTCAGCAGCAGGCTGGGGCGCATAACCTGGGCGGTGGCACACTGTCAAGGGCTCAGAGGGGCCTGTGCTTGGTGTAATGGTCTCGTTTTGGAACAAGGAGCCCTGTGTCTCTGTTTTGCATCGGGCCTGTGAGTTATGTAGCCAGTCCTGCTCGGCAGCTTGTGTCCTGCTGTGCTCGGGCCTCACCTTGCAGAAGCAAAACAGACAGAGGTGAAATGCCTTGAGCTGCTTGGCCCCAGACTAATCGGACAGCCGTAACAAAAGTGGAATTTAACAAAAATGCATCATAATGTGCAGAACATCGGAGATCAATGGGCCTCTACACTGAGTGGCCAGATTATTATGATCTCTAAACACATAATAATCTGGCCACTCAGTGTGTGTGTGTGTGTGTGTGTGTGTGTGTGTGTGTATAATGGGCCTGGTGCATGAATTTGTGTATGGGTGGGGTCCAGCCAGCCTGGCCAGGGGGAGGGGACATGGGCTGTTGGACAGCCTGCCTGCTGATCGAACTCCTGGTTGAGGGGACAATTTGCATATTAGCCTTTTATTATATAGGATATACACTGAGTGGCCAGATTAGTATGTGTTCAGAGATCATCATAATCTGGCCATTCAGTGTATATGGAAGGACGTTGGGGTAGCTTTAGGAGTTACTGTAAGGATGTCCTCAATGCATGTGTCACCTACCCATGACACAATCCTGGCAAGGTTGTTAAAGGCAGGACATGGACAGGAACCAAAGGATTGAGGCCTCTTTAAATCCCTCCTGAACTATGAATACCTACTTGGATCCTGGAACCTGTTCTCACTGCCTGGGTTTTATAACCTAGGCCCCGGGCTTCACGGTTAGTTACAGGATGAATAATCCCGTTGTTTGTGGGAATTGCTTATGTTAGTTTCTGGAAATTGCCAGAATCCTGCAACAAAAAACCAAGAGAGACCCAACTACAGCCTGCATTCTGGAAACAACCTCCTAATCAACAAGACCTTGGCAATGGCGACAATGTGGATGTCGTGGACCAGTGTCCTCTGAACCCACCGCATCTACTCACGGCCAAAAGGGAGGCCCCAGACAATCAGTGTGGCCCCTGCTGGCACACGCTGTCTTGTGGAACATAAGCAGTTCCCCAGAATGGCCACATCGAATAAGGCCATCCTCTGAGAAGCCAGGGACAAGACAAAAACAAGCCCACTCCATGCCCTAGCTGGTTTGGCTCAGTGGCTAGAGCGCTGGCCTTTGGACAGAAGGGTCCCAGGTTCAATTCCAGTCAAGACCACATGCCGGGTTACAGGCTTGATCCCCAGTAGGGGGCGTGCAGGAAGCAGCAGACCAATGATTTTTTTCTCATCATTGATGTTTCTGTCTCTCTCCCTCTCCCTTTCTCTATGAATTCAATAAAAAATATACTTTAAAAAAGAGCACTCCAGCTGAAACCAGTTTGGCTCAGTGGTAGAGCGTCGATCTGCAGACTGAAAGGTCCCAGGTTCGATTCCGGTCAAGGGCATGTACCTTGGTTGCGGGCACATCCCCGGTGGGGGGGTGTGCAGGAGGCTGCTGGTTAATGTTTCTCTCTCATCGATGTTTCTAACTCTCTATCTCTCTCCCTTCCTCTCTGTAAAAAATCAATAAAATATATTTTAAAAAAAAAAAAAACCACTCCAGAATCATGTCCTCCTCCTCCTCCTTCTTCTTAATATGTATTTTATTGATTTTTACAGAGAGGAAGGAGAGGGATAGAGAGTTAGAAACATCAATGAGAGAGAAACATCGATCAGCTGCCTCCTGCACACCCCCACCTGCAACCAAGGTACGTGCTCTTGACCGAAATCGAACCTGGGACCCTTCAGTCCACGGTTTAAGCGATGGCTTCTTCTTTACCCATCACAGCCTCTGCCTAGTCTTCCTGCTTCCAGATGGCATCGATTAAGGCACCCAATCATGGAATCACCCTGCCCCCAGCCCTGAGCAATGCCCGGCGTCCTTAGATGCTCCCCCCAAACACCTAATCCGGGCCCAATCCTACATGTGGGTCTTCCTGACACCCTCTGGCTGTGATGCCCCACTGTGCCCCCTGGTGTGCATTCTCCCTCCCTGAAAGGTGTTCCACTCCAGGTGTGTTCCTGGGTGTGTGTGACCAGAGGGCAGTGCAATAGTGACTAAAATGAAGTCAACGCTGAAGGTGAAAAACCATAGGTTTGGTGCCAAAACTCACATTCGCCGGGACCCACCTGCTTAATCAGCCCTGCTTGAACATCTGCAACAGAGCTGTTGTGTTTTCATTGATTTCAGGGAGGAAGGGAGAGGGAGAAAGAGCTAGAAGCATCCATAATGAGAGAGAAGCATTGATCAGCTGCCTCCCGCAAGCCCCACACTAGGATGGAGCCTGAAATCCAGGCATGTGCCCTGACCGGGAATCGAACTGTGACCTCCTGGTTCCCAGGTCGACACTCACCCACTGAGCCACACCAGCTGGACTGCAAGAGTTTTATAAACTCTGAGGAGGAGCCACACTGTGCTGCAGGCAGCACCAGTGACAACCAACCAGGAAGAAGGACGTCAAAACTGGAAAGAGCCCTCCGTTCAAAAGGAGAAGGTGGTGGAAGCTGGTTTGGCTCAGTGGTAGAGCGTCGGTCTGCGGACTGAGGGGTCCCAGGTTCGATTCCGGTCAAGGGCATGTACGTTGGTTGCGGGCACATCCCCAGTAGGGGGTGCGCAAGAGGCAGCTGATCTATGTTTCTCTCTTATCGACATTTCTAGCTCTCTCTCTCTCTCCCTTCCTTTCTGTAAAAAATCAATAAAATAGATTTTTTTTTTAAAGGAGAAGGTGAAGGTGGCAGAAACAGGGAGGCAGAGTGCTCACTGGACACTGTCAGAGGCCAGACACCAGTCATTGTGCGCTGTCCCCAAGCTGCCTAGTGAAGAGGGCCGTCAGCAGCTGCACCTGCCATCAAAGACAGAACTTTCGGTTTTACTGTTTTTCTTTTTCTCTTTCACCAGTCCACTTGGGACCCTTGGCGACACCGCCTCCCTGCCCACTGTGCGCAGCTGTGGTGAAGTCACTTCCTCTCTGTAAAAGCCTGGCCTGGTTATTAGGGCGCGAGTGGCTGACAGACATCTGGAGGGCTCCCCGCCACTTTGCAGATGAATGTGGGCTTCACCAGCTAGTTAAACACGACTACATTTCTGATTAAAAAGGGGGTAACTGAGAGGGGCCTGGGATATTTGGCCCAGTGTTTCCAACTTAGCTGCACACTGGATCACGTGCACCCCAGCGCATGAAGTCCAGCCTGGGCATTGGCCTTGTGTTAAAAAAACAAAACAGTTCTAGCTGGTGTGGCTCAGTGGATAGAGCACGGGCCTGCGAACTGAAGAGTTGGA